AGGGTAAATTATGAGATGCATTTTGAGTTCAAACATCTCTCCATACTTTTTGTGACTTTAGTTACGCATATCAAAAAGACTCCTCGGCAGTCTGCTTATTGATTGTATTCTTCATTTTTTTAGATAGAGCAGTGGGGTCCATTTGATCTTCTCATTGGTGGAAGTCCATGTAATGACTTGTCCATAGTCAATCCTGCTCGGAAAGGCTTGTATGGTAAGACAAAAGTACTGAAAGACAAAGTTCAAGCATTAAATCATAAAATATTCATTTGCCAGGGCGTGACATTAACTTTTTTGATCACCAGCCACTGTTGCCAGTAGTTTTATAATGTTACTAGCCACTCGCCATTTTCACTAGCCAATTTTATTGTTGGGAAAATGTATTTTATATGCATAAATGTTACTTTGGCATGGAAAAAAATTGACATTTTTTGTTTATCCACATGCCTCCTTATTAATTTAACTTTTTTGACTTTTCATGACTTTTTAGGGCCCAACACTGGATTTACAGATTTTTATCTGCACATCAAACTAAATATTTCCTTGCCACAATTTTTTTTAAATAATGTGGCAAAACAAGCTAAATGTAGCAGTATACATACAATTTTTATTCTATAATTTAAAAAAGAAAACAATTGACAATTAAAAAAAATTATTATCATTTATCTAAAACTATACACAGTAGTTTGTCTGGGCTAAAGGTCCCAGATCATCAGTTTATGGAGAGTTAATCTCTTTTTAAAGCAATGTTATTGTAAAGGATAATAATTAAACTATATTACCAAAAATAACTGCAAGCAAATGGAAGCTGGTGAAAAACATTGTGTGCGATGGTAAAAAGATGATCACATGCACACGGTTAATGTTAGGCCCAGTAATAATCTGTTCAAAGAATTGTAAAAGCGAAAGTGGCAATAACTGCTGCATACAAAAAAATCCGAAGATCTCTTGAAAGCAGCAGGACTGTGGGTGCTCGAGAGGCGCTTATTTTTTTTTCAATTATTTCTAAGAGAAATGATCACAACAGTTACATTTTCAGGCACGGTTGTTTTGCGCAATGAAACGGAAGCTTTTAAGCACTCGCGTACATCACATCAGCTGTGCCTTGCTCACAACGTCAGTGAGCGAGGATTGCCTGTGTCTCACCGTATGCCTAATCATCCTCTTAGATGAAATTTACCTGCATTTGGCGTGTTCTTGAGTGTTAATGTCAAGCCCTGTTTGTTGCATGTTAAATCATCTTTACTCTCTACAGAGGGCACTGGACGGCTGTTTTTTGAATACTATCGGCTTCTGAATGTTTTGAAGCCAAAGGAGGATGACCCACAACCTTTCTTCTGGCTGTTTGAGAATGTCACCTTCATGCAAACCCACGTTAAAGCGGACATTTGCCGCTTTCTGGAAGTAAGTGTTTATGTTGGATAAAGGTTTGGCAGATTTTATTGCCAATATAAAGGATTAGTTCACCCAAAAATTTAATTTGTGTTAATTATTCACCCTCATGATACCCCTCATGACCCCTTGAGACCTTCGATAATATTTTGAACATAAACTAATATATTTTAGATGAGCTCTATGATCCTCTATAGATGGCAAGGTGTGTGTGACATTCAAAGTCCATTTTTTGGCATATAAAAGTAATTGATAACAGAATTTTACATTTTGGATGAATTAATCCTTTAAAAATGTCCTACACTACCTGACAAAAGTCTTGTCATCGATCCCAGTAATAAGAGTAACAAATAATAACTTGACTTCTAGTTGATCATTTGGAAAAGTGGCAGAAGGTCGATTTTTCAGATGAATCATCTGTTGAACTGCATCCCATCATTACAAATATTGCAAAAGACCATTTAAACCTGCATGGACCCAAGATTCTTACAGAAATCAGTCAAGTTTGGTCAAGAAAAAAATCATGGTATGGGGTTACATTCAGTATGGGGGCGTACGAGAGATCTGCAGAGTGGAAGGCAACATCAACAGCCTGAGGTATTAAAACAGTTGTGCTGCCCATTACATTACAAACAACAGGACAGTGCAAATTCTCCAGCAGGATAGCGCTTCTTCTCATACTTCAGCCTCCACATCAAAGTTCCTGAAAGCAAAGAAAGTCAAGGTGCTCAAAGATTGGCCAGCCCAGTGATCAGAATTGAACATTATTGAAAATTCCGGGAAAAGATGGAGGATTTAAGATGAATCCAAAGAATCTTAATGAACTCTGGGAGTCCTGCAAGAACGCTTTCTTTACCATTCCAGAAGACTTTATTAATAAATTATTTGAGTCATTGCAGACATGTATGGATGCAGCCCTCCAAGCTCATGGGAGTCAGACCTTACAGTTCAAGGCTTGATCATATTTTATTTTGGTAAAAAAAGCTTAATCTATTGGCCTTTGCCTTTTTATATAAGTCACTTCTGATACCAAATGATCAACTAAAAGTCAAGATATTAGTTGTTGTTCCTAAAATTTGGATAGGTGACAAGACTTTTGTCAGGTAGTGGATGTTGGCATAGTTTTAAAAATGTATTTGTTTGCTTTTTTATTTGTGTGGTTTTTGTTTTTAGTGTAACCCTGTGCTTGTTGATGCCGTGAAAGTGAGTCCAGCTCACAGAGCAAGATACTTCTGGGGGAACATACCTGGCATGAACAGGTGCGTCAGTGGTATCGTGTGACCATCACACTTCATGAAATATACAATCACCTGTTTTAAGTGTTTGAACATGACAGTATACCTCATACCTTTTTATTACATTTTGCCAGACCAATCATAGCATCTCAGAATGATAAACTCTGTCTTCAAGAATGTCTGGAGCCTGGCCGCACTGCAAAGGTTAGTCATCTAACCTAATAAAAGTACACTGTACTATAATGATGTCACAGTGGTCGTAACACAGAAATGTACTATTTTCCAGTATGAAAAAGTTCGCACTATCACTACACGGCAAAACTCCCTGAAGCAGGGCACCAATGATGCACATTTCCCCGTCACCATGAATGGTAAAGATGACCACATATGGATCACAGAATTGGAGAAGTATGTTTTTTTTTGTCTACTTTTTAACAATAAAATTGTGTAAAGAACTATAAATTGAATGATGAATGTTTTATTTATGATGATTCTGACACTTCCACAGAATATTTGGATTTCCGAAGCATTACACTGATGTGAAAAGCATGGGTCGTCCGCAGAGGCAGAGAGTATTGGGGAAGTCCTGGAGCGTTCCTGTCATTAGGCATCTTTTAGCACCACTGAAGGATTACTTTGCTTGTGACGAATTCCCTGTGAAATGAAGAGAGGCTACGATGAGGATTTTAATTCTATTTTGGTCAATGTAAAAAGACTCAGGGACACACAACTATGTTGCTTTTTAAGTGTTTTTTAACTTTTTTAATGAAACTGTTATGACTAGCCGAAGAGTAGTTTGGAATAATCGTGGGAAGGTTGATTGTATTTTATTGAATAATGCATAAAATCACGTGTCACTTTTTAAAAATTGTATTTTTCACAATTTCTAATCATGTTTTACATGTTAGTTGCAAATAGAAAATTGTTGATGTGAGACCAAGCTAAAAAAATAAACCTTTTAATTGTGTGCAATGCTTTTTGCAAGACATTTAACGAATATATATATATAAGAACACCATTGGGCATTTTTGTCTCCATATTTTAAAGGGATCATTCATTTTCTTTTCAGCTTAGTTTCTTTATTAATCTGGGGTAACCACAGCGGAATAAACCATCCACTTATCCAGCATATGGTTTACGCAGCGGATGCCCTTCCAGCTGCAACCCTTCACTGGGAAACACCCACACACTAATTCACACACACACACACACTACAGAAAATTAAGCTTACCCAATTCACCTATAGCGCATGTCTTTGGACTTGTGGGGGAAACCGGAGCACCCACAGAACCAAAGATTATGCAAACTCCACACAGACATGCCAACTCATAAAGTTTTAAAAAGGGAACAGTGTGTAAATGATAACAGAATTTTAATTTTTAGGTGAACTATCCCTTTAAGTATCTAAATTTTTCACTTGTTGCCATTTTTTATCACTGATCATTTTTATTTACTGCATTAACTTCAGTTATTATCTTTCATAAAATTCACATTCATTCATTTAAATCCATTATTTGTTATTACTGTAATTCATTTAGATATCAAATGTTCCAAGATACACTACTAGTCAAAAGTTTGGGGTCAGTACAATTTTAAAATGTTTTAAAATAAGCTTCTGCTCACCAAGGCTGCATTTATTTAATCAAAAATACAGTACAAATTGCACAGTTGTGAAATGTTATTGCATTATATTATAACTGTTCAAAAGTAGTTTATCATTTAATTTAATAATTTATTCCAATTTCCCAGTGATGGGTTGCAGCTGAAAAGGCATCCCCTGCATAAAACAAAACAAAACAAACTTTCAAAACTCACTCAAGCAGGGCACAAATGACACATTTACCTGTCACCATGAACGGTAAAGATGACCACATATGGATCACAGAATTGGAGAAGTATGTTTTTTTCTACTTTTCAACAATAAAATAATGGATATAGCTATAAATTGAACAATAAACGTTTTATTTATGATGATTCTGACACTTCCATAATTGTCGGTTCGTTCCGCTGTGGCAAACACTGATTAATAAAGAGACTAAGCTGAAAAGAAAATGAATGCATGTATTATAGTGTTATTAAAGATGAATTTTCAGCTTTATTACTCAGGTCTTCAGTCACATGATCCTTCAGAAATCACATTAATATTAATAATTATAATTATTGCTAATAGTAATTTAAGCAATAATGACTAAAGTAATAATTTCATTTGGAACTCCATTCAATAAGAAAGCAGTTATTAAAAAGTTTAATACATATTTAAAAAAAAAAAAAAAAAACATTTAATAAACGCCACCTTGATGAACAATAATTTTCTTAAAAAAAAAAAAAACTGGCCCCAAACTTTTGACTGGTAGTGTAAGGACTTTTATTTTGAAAAGTGAAGATCGTATTTTGGATGGACAGTCATGGCAAAGTCTTTCCCACTGTAAGTAATTTTCTAGTCCTTCTTTATAATGATTAGAAGGAAAATAAAAATAGTACCGTGTGTAACATGTTTACATGTATGTCCTGTGAGTAGGAACTTGTGCTGGTGTGAGGCCGCTTGCGCTTCATTTGCAGCAGCATCCGTTTCCTCTGTTTTAAGTTTTCGCGGTAAAGGGGTTGAGGCCATGTGTGCGCAGACACAGAAATGCACTCCCAACTCTTATTTATTTTTGCTGAGTACGTTACCGCGCGCGCAAGTGTTTTATTTAAAATAACGGTAGGTTAATCTCTCTTCACCCGCCGGCTGACTAAATGACATTAGTTTATCGACGTTTCTATAAGATGACTTTTAAAGGTATGATACTATGGTTGTGATTTCAAACGAGATTTTATACGTATAAATTCGCAGAATATGAATGGGCGTTTTTGGTCGGTTATCGTTAGTGCCCTTCAAATATGTAGCCTGCCTGGACAACAAAACCCAGTCATAAATGTCCGTTTTTGTAAATTGGAGATTTAAACCTCACATGAAAGCTGAATAAATAAGCTTTTCACTGGTGTAACTAGACTTTTTAGGATTGGTCAATATTTGGCTGACAAAGTCAACTATTTTTTAAATCTGGGGGTAAAAATGAACAAAACACTGAAAAGATGGCCTTTACAGTTGTCCTGATTAAGTTGTTATGAATGCAGATCACTAACGTTATTAATCAGAAATCGAGTTTATCTTTATGGAGCATCAGCTTTTTTTAATATTCAAAGAACAGTAAATCATTTTGACCCTTACAATGTATTTTTATTTGTTACCAACAATGCACTTGTGCAATATAATACTGGTTTTGTGGTCCAGGGTTTCATATTGTCTTAGTTGAGATGTTTAAAAACTAAAATCAGAACTTGCATATTAATATAAATCATTTATCTACAGGTTATGGAGAATGGTTGTGAATGTAGAGAAACACACGTTTACAAGTTACAAGTGTAATTCAGTAACAGACCAGTCTAGTGGAGTACATCACCTGCTCAGGTATTGTTTTTTTAGTGTTTTTCTTTTTCAGATGTCTAAAACACCTTGATTTTTGTATTGAGTTTATTTTATAATTATATTATATTATTAATTATATTATTTCAGGCTTTCTCCTTAATAATATGATTTCAGAAAAGTATTATTTGCAAAAATCTAAATAGTGAAGTTATATTAGCTGCCCATGACTATCAAGGTACAACATTGTTCACAGTCAATTAAATGGTGCTAATGTTGTTTTGAAGTAATTTAAATGTGATTTAAGACCCAATATTCAAATTAGTGTGGTAAACGTATAAAGACAGTTAAATTAACAAATGTGCGAATATAAATCCAACTTTACCTCTGTGATTTTTGTATACCAGTTGTATTTACAGTAATACATTTGTGTGCAATCTCATTTTTCTCAAAATCTTTAAGAATTGTATGCACTTAATCTTAACATGAACTTTTTGCACTTTTTGTTTTACTGAGTTCAGACTCGTATCTTTATAGAATTACAAATAAGACGTTTTTGTTTTATTATGCTGTTCTATATATATATATATATATATATATATATATATATATATATATTACTTTAACCCATGTATTTTTAACCTCTTTTTTTTAGAAACTCTGCTGAATGGTAACATCCAGAAAACCTGTCATTCAAAGAGTTTCAGTTCACAGAGCTTGAAATGCGTAGGTGTTTACTTTTGATTAATTTTTTTTATATTGAAAAAACAAAAATTGTATCGGTGGTCTTGTACTATTTTTTGACTATTTGTTTTTTATTATTATTTCAGCTAGAAGACGTTCTTCAAGACTCAGATGTCCAAAACAGCAAATTAAAAATGGCAAACAAAATTCAAATAATGCATTCACTTGCAATCCAGCCACAATGTGTTTCATCAGAAGGTATGCTTCATCTACCTCAGATTGTGGATCTGTCTCAAAATATCCAGCATTAGACCAGAAATACTGGGAGGACATTACTGCCATCTGCAGACAGACTCCATACTGCCTTTATCTATACCATGGAGTGGAGATCGAGAATGACAAGAAGGCCAGTGTGCTCTTGTTGGGCTTTTTTGACGAAGATACTGGAAAAAACAAAATCAGACTGCTGGATGTTGTCCATCCAACAAAAGAGTCCACTGAAGACATCTGCAACTACATCTTGGACTTGCTGAGGAAGATCGGAATACCTTTATCCAACATGGCCATATTATATTCAGATTTTCCAGATCACGAACATCTTGTAGCTGGTCTACAGTTAATGAAAGCTGAGATTGTGTCTTTATGTGGACTTACAGACCTGACAGGACAAGTGTGTCACAGTGGTGTTGAGAAAATTGAGTTTTCTGACCTGATTCTGAATCTCATCACAGAGATCTACAAACATTTCCCATCTTTCCCAGCAGATCTACAAGCTTTGCTTGAAGATGTTGAAGGGTCAGACATTGGTGATCGGACATCTCAGTGCTCTCTCTTCTGGAGAATAATTAAGAAAATCCCTTTAGCTTGGTCACACCTTGAGAAGTACTTTGGATCTCTGGGTACAGAAGAAGAAGCAGTCTGCCTTCTTCTAGAGGATCCCAAAATAAAGCTCAACGTTCTCTTTCTTACCCACGCTTTGCAGCCGCTTTGTGATTTTCAGGAGATTATCGACCAAGGTGCCAGCGTCTTACAACTGCTCCAAGATGCTTCTAAATTATTGAGGCTTTACACACAGAGTTTCCTCAGACCAAAAGCAGCAGAGTATTTTCACAGGAGAGGAAAGACCTCACTTGTACAGGAGACAGTGGGACATTTACCTAGAGGAGAGGTTGCAGTCGGCGAACAGGCTGCTGATTTTCTCCAGCAGCACTCTGAAGAGTTGTCTGACTACTTGGAGACATTTCACAGATCCATCATCTCCTTCTACACCACTGTTACTGTTAATATTGTCAAACGTCTGCCTCTCCCTGATTCCACCCTGAGAAACTTGTCGTTGGTGTTGAGTCCAGGAAAAAAGCTTGAAGTGACGGGCAAAATGGTCCAAGATTTAGGCGTCAGTTTTGGTGTTTGCTCAGAGAATGTCAGCTTGCTCAAAGATGAGTTTTTGGAGTACCAGTTTATTGATGAAAGTGATGCACAGCCAGCTGACCAGTCAATGAAGCAGTACTGGAAAACAGAGCTGAGGATTATGGGGAAGGCATCTAGTTTTGGGAAAGTCATCCTAAGCTTGTTGGCCCTTCCCACAACTCTGAAAAAAGAGCAGAATTTTGAACGGGTGAGTTACTGAGTTCATGAACAGCTTGAGAAACCTAGTTATCAAATATCAGTTTGACTAAATAATGTTTAATAAAGTTTGAATCAAGGAACTAATGATGGTGTTTAATATGTTGATGTCATTGAACAGTCAGGGACACACAGAAAAATAAATGAATTCAGATTTAGAGTTTTTTTGTTTATGTGCACGATTGTCTGTATTTCAGCTGTTTCAACACACTGACAACATCAAGAGAAAAAAACTGAAGGACTGCAAGAAGCATGTGTCTGAGGATGATGTCACAGACAGCAGTTCTTATAAAAGTGCTCCATCACATCTCAGCCCAGAGACGCAAGGTAAGGGGTAAAAGACACCAGTGTTCATACTTTTAAAGAAAAAAAGATTTATAATAACCGTACAATTTGACAACAGAGTAATTAATAGGCTGTTGAGGAACTGAGCCCTGGGGGTTGACTTGGAAGTATCTCTGAGATGAAGAAAGTTCCTGAACACCCTTTTCTCTTTTTTTATAATACCTTATTTGGTCACAAAAAATGTACTTCAATAATCCCTCCCCAGCACTTGATATAACAACACAACAAAACAAATAAACAACAACAAATATATTATTTTATTATATTTGCTAAACATTTCCAACCAACTGCATGTAAAGTCTTACAATAGTATTTTCACATTGTAACATAAAATATGAAAAAAAAAAGAACACAGCGGGTATGCATAATAATGGGGTATATACACACAGACTTTTAAATTCAGCCAGCCAGCCTCAGCGCTTCTGGTAAAATTATAAAATTGCCATGCTTAAGGGCTGATTTCTTTAAAATTAAGCGATCTTCACCACCTGATAGATATACAATATGGGTCTCAGACCAGACGAGAAGCACTGCATTCAAATCCATTTCCCCCCGCCATCTCTTTAAAATATAATAATGATGATTATTTATTTCATCCCAGTATTTTCAATGGAGTTTCTGCACTCGTCTGCCGATCCTGATGGTTTTACACTTAAACAACTAAATAAATGCTTAAGTCTATTTAATTGGGAGTTGGGGTATTTACATTACAACATTGATGCTGTAAAAGGAACCTTATGAAATTGAAAATACTCACATTAAGCTTTCACTGGAAGTTTATCGTTGGCTGAAAACACTAGCTGTGCATATACCCCATTACCAAAGAGAAGATGAGTTTCATTCTTGGAGTATATTTACATTTCCTGTTGTGAAAGGATATATTGCGACCAGACCCTGATCTCTTTTTGCGTCACCCCCTTAAAAAATCTGCTTTATTCTCAGATCTCATTGACTTGGGGGAAGAGGAAGACGTTGAGCCAATGGAAGTAGAGGATACTTTGCTGGTGTCGGATTTGGACACAGAAAGCCAAAATGACACAAAAGGTTCCTCTTTAAATATAATAGATGTTATAACGGTTACTTTGTCCTTTCTGAGAATTTGGCACATGACACAAATCAAAATATTTATTTTTGCCATCAGGGAATTGTCCGAATGTGTCAAGTAATGATGATGATGATGATGATAAGTGCAGCAGCAGCAGCAGCCATGATGATTACAGCAGTAGTGATGATGATGGTGATGTCATATGGAGAGAGGTAAATGTGTACTTACTGTTTGCACAGTAGGGTGATGCATCATTCTGGATACTGTAATTGAACGCAATGTTTTTGTTATTTTACCAGAAAGGAAAAGGAAATAGCTGCCATAATAATGAGCAAACAAAAAATCCATACAAGGTAACTTCTTCAGCCTTTCTAAAGTTAAATGTATTTTGTATCACTTGTGTGTATATGTTTAGTATATAACGGGCTTGAAATTAAACTTTTTGCTTGGTAGCACTGGTGCTCCTAACTTCAAATCTTAGACGCATCATCTAACATTTAGGCACACCCACCAAAAATTCTGAGCACCGTTACTACATGTTTTATACTAACATATTTATAGCATTTAAAATCAACACTAATCAAAACTAACAAACAAACAAAATCTGCATGCACCCACCGTCCCTGCACATCTTGACAATTAAATGAAGGAATAAATAAATCCACTTGCACTAAAAAAGATTTAGTGGCAAACTCCGTCCCATCAACTTTACAGTGAATGGCTTTAGCCACTTTGTTTGCGGACTTGCAGCCACTGGAAGTCTTCGAGAAGTGAAAATTGTGGATTAGCATTTGCCACATGATCATTAATTAGATGTGACATTTTTTTGTAACTTTAGGTGGTTTCTAATTCATTATTAGAATTATTATCTAGAACTGTTATTATTATTATTATCTACTTTGTTATTCTTATCACTCATCTTCAGCCATTTACATTTTCGCAGTTGTTGCTCACTGTCACCTGAAGATGTTCAGCTGACATTTAATATCATTCAATGAATGACAGCTGTTATTAACCAATCCATTCGTGTTCAGTTCTGACGCAGTGGACCAATCTGAAGAGCGCAAATGCGGGGCGGGTATTAAAGGCTTTTTGTTTACTGTAGCAGGATGGCATGACAACTAAAACCATTAAACCATAAACCACCAACATAAACCATTTCGCAGCACTGCGTTTTAAGTTTTTAGGTACAAAGATGCATTCTGCACAAATGTTTCCTAAAGCCGCACATGCTGTGAACATTTTGCAGTGAATACGGGTCGCACGGCAACAATTTTTGCACTCACACAAATGCTCCCAAATATATTTTGAGGTTGCGTAGATAAAAATTTTTTCCAAAACAAACGCAATTTCGAGCTCTGATATGTAGTTTAACAAAAACAAGAGCAATATTTGCACCTCTTACCCCACACATTAATTTTAACACATTTGTGTTAATCTTATCAATTATTCATGGGAAATTCCATATATGGCAGTAACTTGAGAACAAGGCTTCATAGTGCTAGCAGTGTTTGTACCAAAAGCACTTCTTTATTGTCTTATGTCGTGCTTTTTTAATCTAAATCACCCAAGTGCACCTGTTATGTGCACCCCTGACTTTATTCCATTTCTTAAGTGCATTTTATTTCTTCAGGGCAGTTACATAGTCGGTGAGATGGTTTGGGGACCGCTTGAGGGCTTTGGTCTTTGGCCTGGACTGGTTCAGAGCTGGGACAGCAGGAAACCTTGTGGCTCCATGCGTAAAGTGTTTTTCTTCGGAAACAGTATGCAGTCTGAGGTAGAGATTTTATTAGTCTTGTGCAAGATTTTATTTCACCTTATTTCACTTATTAAGAGTGATCATACTTCATATGTTTCCATTGTAGATTCAGGCAGACGATCTCACGCCCTTCTTTTCGTTTGCTAAGTGCTTCTCTTCTAATTCCTTTGCCACGGTAGCAACATATAAAGATGCGATCTTCAATTCTCTGCAGGTAATGAAAGTTCTTATTTTGCTAGCGTCATCTGTTTGGCTCTTTAAGATCTATTTGCCAGGGGGCAGATTTTTACTCTAATTTCTTAGGATTTACCATGGAAATACGAAAATAAATGTTGTTGACGTGAGGTTTTCTACATGATATACTCTAGGTGGCTTCCAGACGTAGTAGAATGTTTTTTTCTCCTGACACGGACTCTATGGATGAGTTGCTTAGAGTTATGTTGAACTGGGCCTTTGGAGGCTTTAAACCATCAGGAGAAGATGGTCTTCGACCTCAATCAGAATGCAATGGTATGCAATCTTTTTGCTGTACAACCTTCAGTGCATGAACTACAGTATTTAACTTTAAGGGTGTGTTCACACTTGCAGTACGTCACTCTTGTTTTGTTTGGGTTGGAATGAAGAATAAAATTTATGTTTATCCTTTTCTTAGCATTCATATGGTCATGCTTGAGCATTCTGTTTTTTTTTATGATCACATTCTGTGACTTTTTTTTGTTCATGTCTCAGTTTATTTGGTTCATCAGTTCATCACTCTAGAGTTTATTTGGACGTGAATAGGGACCTTTTAAATGTCTCACTTAGCTCAACTTGAAATCAAATTACTGAGGATATTACTCCTTCACATGCCGATAGGTGCTATAAACCACTAGCCAGCACACTAGATAGCCCAATTCACTCTTCAGCTGTAGCATTTGACCACTGGAAAGAATCACTTAATTATTTATATACAGCTCCAAAAGACTAGCTCTGACTCATTCAAATCAACCACACTATTTGGCAGGACACAACAAACATCAACAAGCATCTGTCAAGCTGGTTTGCTTGGTGTGTTCCACGTGTTGCCGGTCGTCAGGCTCACGTCAGAGGCAGTTCGCCTGATTCAGCATGTAGAATCAACGTTGGCATTCTGTAAAAGAGTACTCCTGATTGGCTGTTCAGCTACAAATCTGTTTCATCAATTCAGTTTTTGTTTTTGTGCTCCAAGCAAAAAATGCTTATCATGAGGGAGCACAAAGAAGCTGGCTGTCGTTTTGTCACATTTTTATAAAAAAAAATTTCAGGCTGCATTTCACCACTTTTGGATATGCACTCGCAAACTTGGCACCTACCCTCAGGGGAATCCCTGCCACCATTCTAAAATGCGTTCCACTTTGTGAAGTGTATAAGGGAAGCTTGCATGGACATACCATCTGCTCCTCGATTTTGGACAACAGAGCAAATCTGCTTTGTATGTACACTCATGTCCTAGAATGCAATGTGATTGTGACATCACAACAGCATTGTTTTTTCAAGCACTAAATTGTTTAAGGAATTCAGTTTTAAACCCATTTAATAGTGCACACACTAGTGAATACTTGTGTAATGTAATCAATGGCTTACATCCTAGTCAAAGTGAAGGGCATAAAAATTGTTCTGGGAGGCAGCCACAGTTAGTTCACCTCAAGTTCTTTGATGCCAGCTTTGTGTGTCCTGTCTTTAACAGTGTACCCGAGAACCAGACCTGCCAAGTGGGAGCACACCTTAAGTCTCAGTTTTATATTTTTTGTTAATTTGATATGAACTTAACAGTATATTTATTTTTGTTCCTTTTTTTAGAACTGGTTTTTACACCACGATCAGTGAATGGGAATGATGGACCATCTTCAAACTTCAAAGACCATCGAGAAAAGTTGTTTAACTTAACGGTATCTCTCAATAAGCTCCCTGAATCTCTGGATCTGCACAGAGGCTCAATAGACATTGGTAAAACTCATGTTTACAGAAAATTCATGCTTTCAAAAAGGAGTCTGAGACCCTTGCAGTCTAGAGAAAAGAAATATACACACTGGAAGAGGTATCTAAATGACATGGAAAGTATGAAGGTTGACTCCAGACAGAACAGTCAAGAAAGATGTATGTACACCATTAATATTTGTTGTAGTTAATTTTGCAATGTGTTAACCTAGTGTTTATTACTTTTCACAGATGAAATGGTGCATGCTTTTCTGGAAAACAAGATGGACATTGAAGGTGAAACACTCTTTCATAAGCATTGCGTTAACTGATGATGCTGAGTATTAACAAGTACTTATTTTTTCCCCCTCTTTCAGAGTTCTGCTTGTCATGTGGGAGTACATTTGTTGACATTATCCACCCACTGTTCGAAGGAAGCCTGTGTGTGAAATGCAAGGTAAATCTGCCATAAACATAGTTCCGCAAAATAAAATGATCCAGACAGTGAGCCTTGAATTGTGATGTGAACAAGACATTGGATGTTTTAGTTAGCCCGTTTGGTAAAACATGTACACTCACCGGCAACTTTATTAGGTACACCTGCCCAACTGCTCGTTAATGCAAATTTCTAATCAGCCAATCACATAGCAGCAACCCCATGCATTTAGGCATGCAGACATGATCAAGACGATCTGCTGCAGTTCAAACTGAGCATCAGAATGGGGAAGATAGGAGATTGTTAGTGACTTTGAACGTGGCATGGTTGTTGGTGCCAGACGGGCTGGCCTGAGTATGTCAGAAACTGCTGATCTACTGGGATTTTCACGCACAACCATCTCTAGGGTTTGCAGAGAATGGTCAGAAAAAGAGAAAATATCCAGTGAGCGGCAGTTCTGTGGGCGCAAATGGCTTGTTGATGTCAGAGGTCACAGGAGAATGGCCAGACTGGTTTGAGCTGATTACCACTTGTTACTACTGAGGTATGCAGAAAAGCATCTCTGAACACACTACAGCAGCAGAAGACCAAACCGGGTGCGACTCCTGTCAGCTAATAACAGAAAACCAAGTATACAATTTGCACAGGCTCACCAAAATTGGATGATAGAAGATCGAAAAAACGTTGCCTGTTCTTATGAGTCTCTATTTTTACTGCAGCATCGCATGGTAGGGTCAGAATTTTCCATCAACAACTTGAAAGCATGGATCCATCCTGCCTTGTATTAACATTTTGCGCTGGTAGTGGTGGTGAAATGATGTGGGGGATATTTTCTTGGCACACAACCTGACTTTGTTGTTGACCATGTCCATCCTTTTATGACCAGTGTACCCATCTTCTGATGTCTACTTCCTGCAGGATAACTCACCATATCATAAAGCGTGAATCATCTCAGTCTGGTTTCTTGAACATGACTAGAGTTCACTGTACTCAAATGGTCTCCACAGTCCCCAGACTTTCAATCCAATAGAGCACCTTTGGAATGTGGTGAAACGGGAGATTTACATCATGGATGTGTAGCGGACAAATCTGCAGCAACATGTCAACATGGACCAAAGTCTCTGAGTAATATTTTTAGTACCTTGTTGAATCTATGCCACGAAGTATCAAGGCAAGTCTAAAGGCAAAATGGGGTCCAACCTAGTATTAGTAAGGTGTACCTATTAAAGTGGCCGGTAAGTGTATAAGGTATCTTGGGTACTCTCACCAAACTTTCTGTGAGGTTTAATGGTTAATTTTAATTGAATAAATGGGGGAATAAATTGAAATGTCTTGTCAGCATAATTGTATACACTGAAAAAAAATAATATGCTAGATTTACTAAGAATATAGTGCATCATTTTTGCATCCCTCTTTTTAAGCAATTTTCACATTAAATTTAAATCAATATTACCTAAAAATCTTTAGTTGGTGATGCTTAATATTTTAAGTATTCTAGCAAATGGTTTTGCTCAAATTTATTGGTCGTTGTAACTTTATATTTTAAGCAGTTTCTGTTTACAAATTTTACCTATTTCTACTATTAAAGTTCTGTTTACCCAATTATAAAATCTTAAGCTAATTTAACTGAAAATGTTTAGTTCTTCAACTTTAAAATACTAAGTCACTTATCAGTTAACTTACAATTAGCTTTACATTACAAAGGGTGGAAAAAAACACAGATAACAGGATTAAAGTAAAGAACTTCTTTATTAGACAAATGCATCTTAAAACATTTCCTGAAAACATTTTTAGGTGTTCAAAAAAATGCAATTTTTTTACAAATGTACTGCTTTAATAGAAACAATAGTTAAAAAACTGTTTCAAGAGTATTCTTAAAAGTAGCGTTCAAAGCTGTGCTTGTGAAACACTCAGCACAATTGCCTCACAGCAAGAAGGTTGCTGGTTAGAGCCCCGGCTGGGTCAGTTGGCATTTCTGTGTGGAGTTTGCATGTTCTCCCCGCGTTGATGTGGGTTTCCTCCAGGTGCTCCGGTTTCCCCCACAAGTCCAAAGACATGCGGTATAGGTAAATTGGGTAGGCTAAATTGTCCGTAGTGTATGTGTGCGTATGGTCACAGTTTTTGGTATGTGCTCTCCAATGTCCAGCTGGTCTGTTTCCCCACAGGTGTCCTGAAACAAAACAATAAAACAAAATGTATATTATGCATCAGTTAAAAAAAAAAGCCAAGTAAAAAAGGGGGAAAAAGTAAGAAACTGAAAAAGACAATCAGAACCTGAAAGTCAGAACTTTTCTTCAGTACAACAGTAAAGAAAATGAATTTTAACTGTGGTCTTTGACTAACTTGCATCTGCTAACTAGCATTTTATCAAAGACCACAGGTGCTTCATTTCCAAATTTTCTTTGCTGTTCTACTGAAGAAGAAAAAAAAAGTTACCCACATCTTCGATTGGCTGGCGTGATTTAAAAAAACAGGAATTTTTCATTTTTTGTTGAACTCAATTTAAGATGACTAAAATCACCCAAATATAAAAAAAAGTTTCTCTTTCTAAATTGTCATTTTACATGCTTAATTGTATTTTCAGGTTTGCAATTAAAACCTTCTACAAAAGTCATTTGAAAGTGAACTAAATGAGCTACATTCACTAACCAGGTAATGTGTAATCAGCTTCTCGAGGTTGTCAGACAGCATATCACCACCTCCCAGAGAATGTCCACACTGTGAGTGCAAATAGAAAAAAAATATATAAATAAATTGTAATATTTTACAATGCATTACATGGTAGAGGCAATGAACATCTAAAATTTAAATGCTAAAACAATAACTGCTCCAGCAATTTCATCACATCAAAGATTTTGCATCCTGCACTTTCTCCCTTCTTGTGAAATAAATGGACGAGCTGTTCTGTGTAATCGTCCAAATTTTCAATGAAGGTAGACTCCACATCAGCAGCCCTCAATCCTTTGAATTCTTCTTTGATCTTAAAAAAAAGAAAAGAAAATTAACAAATCTTATATTTACTTATAAATATACTTTCATTATTAATTTAATCAAAAAAAAAACAACACAAAAACAAACAAACAAACAAAACAATACAATAAAACTTTTAAGTTTTCAAAAGTTAGGCGGTACTGAAATTTTTACAATGAGAGTATACCAGCATTTCCCACCATGTTCACATGCTCAAGAGTGTTTGGCCACAATGATAATCGTTTAAAGCTCAGTAAAAAGCACCTTAACAGATACAAACAGGAGGAGATATATAATAGATCAGCTGACAGACCTGGCTTCAAACACTCCTGTGTGGATATGGGTTAACACATTGTGTTGAGTCAAGCATGGTCATTTATTAAAAGCGTCCATGTGTTATACTGTAAACTGCCTTCTAAACATTTAGACATGCATTATTTATAAGCAGGCATAAGGAATATCATCTAACATTTGCAATTACTTACCAAAAAATGAACAGCCTTCTCCCGAGCTGATTTTCCAAAATGGACTTTTCAAATTGCGCGCTGTGGTACAGCGTCACGTGGTAATCTAATGATACTAAAATGTTGGGTTCAATTGACTAAACCTCAAATTATTGCTAACTTTACTAAAAATTGCTAGTTGTTTTTCTTTATTAAAAAAAGTAAATGGTGAAATCAATATTTTATGTAACATTTGTAGTTTAAAATTAAGCAATGTCCAAAACTAAACTTTTTAAGTGAAATCTGTTTATTTAAATCAGCCATATTTACTGTTGCTGGATATCATTTTTTTACAGTGTAGATTATATTTTCAAGTAGTTAAATAGCCAATTGGATTTTAACTACATCTGTCTATGGTGTCCATCTGCAATGAAGCATTTTTTGCAAATTCTACTTTTTTTTTGCTGCAGTTCTAGCTACCACTAAACTCTAGTTAGTTAATGCAAAAAGTTCTGGCTGAATTGTTTTTTTATTGCATGTTTTTTTGGTGTCACACATAGTTTAATTTCACGGAGACGCTGTACAGATATGATGAAGATGGCTATCAGTCGTACTGCACCGTCTGCTGTTCTGGCATGGAGGTCATTCTGTGTGGTCATGACAGCTGCTGTCGGTAAGTGTGTTTGTGGTGGTCACGAAGAAACCCAGGACAACTTAACCATCCCCCCACTTTTAGGATTTGTAAATGATTGTAAATCATAGAAGCTTTGGGGAAATAGATCTAATGGTGGCTTTTTAAAGAAAGTACTTATTAGATTATACATTTTTATATTGTCATAGCTGTAGGTCCTAACTTAAAGGTCCAAACTATAAAATCTGGTAAAAAAAAAAATAATAATTATTTACCAGATTTGAAAAGTTGCATTCCTGTAAAATGTTGATTAGGCCTTATAGCAAAAATCGATGCACTCTATTTTTTTTTTTTTATATATTTTTCTGATACAAATTAATATGTTTTGTATTCATCATATTATATTGTATACATTATCATTAATAGTTCACCAAATGTGGAAACTTTTCAAATGACACCCAGTTACTAAGATTATCAAAAAATGGTTTTATAGTTGAAAGGTAATATTTCTTTTTAAGGATTTTCAACATTTTACAACAAAAACGATCATTTACAATTCAGATGTTCTGTGACTTCTTGGTAACTAATAAATTTGTGACATGAGTCAGATCAGGTAAAAAGTAAATGCATGTCAAAAGCAGTTGTTGAATGAGATCAAAAGGTGGCATCACATATTTTAAGATGCAGGTTTATGAACATTCATCTTTAATCTTGATAATGTAATTGCCCAAATGAGGAATTTGAACGAAAGTAACAAAGAAAATCATTTTTATAAGATTTTACTTTAATTTGATTGCATTCTCTAGCTGCTACTGTGTGGACTGTCTGGATATCTTAGTGGGAAAGGGGACGTTTAAACAGCTGAAAAATGTGGACCCTTGGACCTGTTACCTGTGTGCACCTGAGACCAGCTCTGGAGCCTTGAAGCCGAGGCATGACTGGAGCATCAGAGTGCAGGAGTTATTCGCCAATAACAGCGCCATGCAGTTTGTTAGTGTTCATTCCATTTTATTTGTCTTGACCAAATTGCTGGATGGTCTTTCTGATCTGTCTATTGATTGACATCGCTCATCTTCAGGAACCCCATCGTGTTTACCCATCAGTCCCAGCTGACCAGCGAAGGCCAGTCAGAGTCCTCTCGTTATTTGATGGCATAGCCACAGGTAACTCCGTTCATAGTCCTTGTTCATAGTTCACTTGCAGTTTAATACATGCTCACAGTATGTTCTTGTCGATGTCGTTTCAGGATACCTGGTTCTGAGAGATCTTGGCTTCAAAGTGGAAAAATACGTGGCCTCTGAAGTGGATGAAGAGTCTGTTACCATTTCCATGGTCAACCACGAGGGAAAAATTACCTATGTTGATGATGTGAAAAAAATTACAAGGAAACACGTATGTTTGCAAAATGAGTATTTTAATTATGTATCTGAAGATGATTCCTCTGCAGTTGGCTTATTGAGTTTTTTTCTCATTGTTCAGATTGATAAATGGGGCCCGTTTGATCTTCTCATTGGTGGAAGTCCTTGTAATGACTTGTGCACAGTCAATCCTGGCCGTAAAGGCTTGTTTGGTAAGACAAATCTGTTGCACTTTACACACAATATGATTTGCCTGGCATCATGCAGCTTTATAGAACTAGAAATGCACATTTTTAATAAAGGTGTGGCAACCTTTTTGCTGATAATCAAAAGTCTGGATACACAAGCACATGGTTCACATCATGTTTTTTATTGAAGAGACTTTTGCTAAATGTGCCTCATTTTAAAACAGATAATTACATGTAATTGATTGGTCTGCTTTGCTCTCTGCAGAGGGCTCTGGACGGCTGTTTTTTGAGTACTACCGGCTTCTGAACGTTTTGAAGCCGAAAGAGGATGACCCACGGCCCTTCTTCTGGCTCTTTGAGAATGTAGTGTTAATGGAAAACAGGGTTAGAGCGGACATAAGCCGCTTTCTGGAAGTGAGTATTTTACTTTATGCTACATAAAGGTTTGATAAAGACTCTCAGCAATTCATGTAAATTTAGTGGGTGTTTGTTTCGTAATTTTTTGAGCTTTAGTATGTGACCCTGGACACAAAACCAATTGCGTTTCACAAGTATGTTTCTGGCAGCAGCCAAAATTATATTGTATGGGTCAAGATTACCCATTTTTCTTTTACGCCAAAAATTATTGGAATGTTAATTTAGAAATTAAGTATAATTAAGTATGTGTGATTCTGCTTACCCGACTATAGCTATGTTTCCATCCAAAAATGCGAATGAACTTTTTGCAAAACTGGATTATCATATAAAATACATTCGAATAAAGCAGCGTTTCCATCCAACGAGTCAAATCGAACAAAAGCGTCACTTCCTGATTAACTGGGGCCAAATATCAACAGTAAAAATGGAATTTGCTGTGGTAGGAGTAGCTGCATCAATCTTTTCTTCATCTAATAAATGACTTGAGCTTCAGAAGGCAATCCTGACATGCAGTGAACGTGCTGTGGCATTTGAAGGTGTCAGACGCAGAGCACAGACGCTCTCGATTCTTGAGGTCATTAATAATATAAGACTAATGCTTAAACGGAGGGGCATTTTATAATGACCGAAGCCACATTTCAGATGGTTTACAATGCTCAGCTTGATGGTTTGTCCATTCACACACATTTTTATCATGACATGATCACTTACAACAAAATCACATGACCTTTTTAATGCTCATGCTGGATTTTGTGCGGTAAAAGTGTTTCCATTGTAGTTTATGCGCATCTTTTCTTATCAAATAAAGTTTATCCTACCCGGTTATGCGCATAAATTTTTTAAACGCATTTTCAAAATCTATGCGCATCTTGGCATTTCCTTCAACCGTTTTATTTTTTATGCACATATGCAAAAAGGTGGATGGAAACAGCTAGTAAAACTTCTAAAATTTAGACATTTTATTTTAAGTTAATTGAATTTTACTAACAAAATTGTTTTAATTTTCTTTTGTGCGAAAAATAAATGGACAGTTAAAGATGAAGGTATTTTGTACATTTCCTATCCACCAAACTTTTGGTTAGTATTTTGCATCGTTAAACACAACATCAAAGGTGATTTTTTTTTTTTTTTTTTTTTTTTTTTGTTCCCCAACCCAGGAATTTCCAAATTTTCAAATACTGTTGTTGTTGTTGTTGTTGTTGTTGGCGGCCCAATATTTTGTTACAATATGGTAATATTTGACCTGTTACTACAACAACTACTACAGTATTTGAAAATCTGGTACTTCATGGGTTTTGTGTTCCAGGCTTGCAAAAAACTTTTGGTTATTCAGTAAGCATTTTGATTATTCATTTACACAAACACTGTATTTGGAACTTGAAAACCTACTTCCCAAAACAGTTTTCATTGCTCAAAATGTTAAAAACTTAAACTTAACGTCTAAACTGTATGAATGTGAATTTATGAAAACAGTGAAGTCATGAAAATGCACATTAAACAGATTTGATTACTCTATAGCTATGCACAAGTAATTGAGAACAATGGCAGACCACAGAACCTTATGTGTTCTGTCGTCTAGTATTTCTTTTCAAATGGACATCGCCTGCAAAATACAGCATTTTTAGTCAGTTAAATTGATCTTTATGAACAGGATTTTTTAAAATAAAAAGGAACATGGTGTTAATAGATTTTTGTAGATTCCAATGATGCCTTGAGTATATTAGATTTTCTTTCTCGAATCCTAACCTCACATTTTTATAGCCGTGTTTATTAGTCGCCTGGTATAGTATGTGTGTGTGGTTTTTGTTTTTAGTGTAACCCTGTGCTTATTGACGCTGTGAAAGTGAGTCCAGCTCACAGAGCAAGATACTTTTGGGGGAACATACCTGGCATGAACAGGTGCGTCAGTTGTATTCATGTGACTGTCACCCTCACTTATAAGATACTGTAAATGAATATGATATTGGGACTTAGTTTTATTTCTTTTTTTTGACTAGACCAATCATAGCATCACAGAAAGATAAAGTCAGTCTTCAGGACTGTCTGGATGGAGGCCGCACTGCCAAGGTTTGTCATGAGCTTCCTACTAAAGATATGCAGTCATTTGTTAATATAAGTACGTTTAATATTAAGTTCTGAAACCATGTCCTATTTTGCAGTATGAAAAAATACGCACCATTACCACACGGCCAAACATACTGAGACCAGGCATTGATGACAGGCATTACCCAATCGTTATGAACGGCAAAGATGACAGCCTGTGGATCACTGAAATAGAAAAGTAATCATAATGTTATCAATAATAATTATACAACTCTTTTAGTTTTCACTCAATCACAATAACCTGTTATTTGCTTTGTCAGAATATTTGGATTTCCGAAGCATTACACGGATGTGAAAAATCTGGGCCGCATGCAGAGGCAGAGAGTACTGGGGAAGTCCTGGAGCGTTCCTGTCATAAGACATCTTTTGGCACCACTGAAGGATTACTTTGCTTGTGACGAATTCCCTGCAAAATGAAGAGAAATTTATGAAGCATTTCGTTTTATTCTTCTTCTTTGTAAAAAGACTCAGGGCCACAGTAGTTTACTTTTTTTAATTGTTTTTGTAACTTAAATGAATGTTATCTGTGTAAAGTTATCTCTGAAGTGCCAATGTAATAGATTGTGTAGCTTTCCCATGTTGAGCTGTGACTGAAATGAACTGTTTTGGTTTAGCGTGTTCATAAAATTGAGCTGTTTTCTCAGTGTTCTCTATTTTTGCTGTCGTTGCACTTATTTATAATTGAAATGTCTATTTGTAAAATAACTTAATAAAAACTAAAACAAATGTTCATTGTCTAAACTTAACTAGATATAAATGTATAACTTGGCGTAGACTACAATGTTTTCCAAAATATTCATATAATAAAAAACAAAATTCACTGCAGGTCTTCAGTATTTCAGTTTAAAATATCTGGCCCATTTTGCTCATAATTTTTGAATACATTGCTGTTAAATGATGCGATTGAGATAATGCCAGCGTTCATATTTTTTCGTTTTTATATTAAAGAAAACATTTGTTATGATTTTCTTGAATGTGGCTCAAGAAAATCGAGACTTTTATTTTGAAATGTGATTGGCAGAAGCGTGGTCTGGAGAGACAACCACAGCCATTACAAACTTTTCCCTTGTAAATAGTTTATTCTTATTTTTGCGATGATTAGAATCGAAGTTAAAAGTATTTGTATATGTGAAACGTTTACGTAGTTAACATTAGACAAGTTTATTTTAGGTTTAAACATGTTTCGTCAGGCTGTTAAGAAACTAGGTATCGACTATATGTCAATTCACTCACTGTCAACAATCTGAATGCTTGTGTTGTACATGCTGTGGTGATAAAGTCACTATGAAGGCATTACTTCTGTTTGTTTTGTAACGTGGGTCATTTTCAAAAATATTTTTAAGTGTTAAAGTAGTAAAAACTAATTTTCTAACATAAAAACTGTCGGTAAGTGTTTCTAAACAGTGGAGGTAGTAGTAATTGTAAAGAAAACTGTTTTTGTTTTGATTGTATCATTTTATTAACACAAATAAAGCAAGAGTGACGTTCTCATGAATGATATTTTTAAAGAAGTTAAAACACTACATGATCAAACAAAAACAAGCTCCACAATGCTGTTTGGTGTCAATGTCCTTAACGTTTTTCAAACATTCATTAGAAATGTTCATAGCTCAAGCCATTGTATTTCTATTCAGATATTAGCATATCAACTTAAAACTATTTAATGACATTACGTTTCTGAAAGTCAACATATTTTTGAAAACCACCCACATGCCACTTAAATTACTATTTGTGGAAGACAAATATTGTGTTGATCATACAATCAAGTGTGTTTGTGTATGTGTTTTATTTTTTTACCCATTTATTTGTATCTGATCTTGAAGCTGCAATATTATGTAGGACCCAAGCAGTGTATAATCCTCAGTGAAAATGTAATGACATTTATTAATAATTGCAGATTCTTTCATGCCAGATGCTGAAAAACAACTTGTGGCAACAGCGATGTCCACAATTAAATGTGTGGTAGTTGGAGATGAAGCTGTGGGTAAAACCTGCCTTTTGGTGTCATTTACAAACAAGTTCCCATCAGAACCAACAGTAAGAACTTTCTTTTCTTTAATTCATGCATGCAGTTCTATACATTGTTCCTCCTTTCCGATTTGGGAAAGAAAAATGCAGCCTTTAAATTCCAGCATTTGCAGCACTTTAAACAAAACTCATTTCAGTGTCAATTTAGTTGTCTTGTTCTTTTTCAGGTGTTCGACACCCAATCTGTGACTGTAATGATGGGCGGTGAGCCGTACACCATTAGATTATTTAATGCTGCAGGTATGATAATAACACTATTCATGAAGTAGTGTCAATATATAAATATTTAGATTAGACATGGGACATCCAATTTAGGTGTACAAATTCAATTTAAAACATGGGAATTTAAAGACAAAGAATGCATAAACATGCACCTGTGTACTTTAATTTTTTAATTATTGTGACAATAAAAATATCAAAATATGGATGAAAATGTCCCGTTGTCATTTAACATAAGACATTTTTATCTAAATAAATAAAAATAAATGAAACACATTTATTTGACCTGTGAGTCTATATACCAGGGGTTCTCAAACTTGAAGACCGGCGGTGTCCTGACTCCAATCAGACAGCTGAGCTAACTTATCAAACTTACTAAGCTTTCTAGAAACATCCTTACAGGTGTGTTAGACATTGGCCCTCTAGCACAGTTTTGAGAACCCCTGCTGTATTTAAAGAAAAGGGGATTTTAATAAATGTACAGTATTATATTTAAAGCGATTGAAGATCTTATGTAATTGGTATTCAGTGGCTGTGTGCTCCCTTAATAGAGATTTAAATGTATTTTTGCCAACACTGTACAGCAAAGTTACATTAATGTATTTACTATCAGTAACAGACATTTAACAATACATTTATGATGGTATTGATTCATCGTTGTTACCGTTTGTTAAAAGAAATCGCAGTGCAATAACTAGCTTGAATTTTAATAATGCATTAGTAAATGTTGAACTATGATTGATAACTGTATATAAACTGAAATTCAGATGGGGCAGAGAGTAAAAAAAAAAAAAAAAGTGAATGGGAGAGGATTTCAGAAAAGTGCCCTGGTCACATTGGAGTTGATTGATGATATGGTCTTATTTTACTGGAAACCCTCCCAATTTTATGATGTATATAGGGCATTGCATGGTTTTGTTTATTGCATTTTAAGGTTTTATTTGTTATTAACGGTCTGTTTGGTCCATGTTATTTTTTCTGATGGTTTCATGTTAGTCCACTAGGTGGCAGTAAAGTTTTTTAAACAAAATAAAAAAGTTTCTGTCTTATAAACAAGGTCATATTGTTGTTGTTGTTTTTGTAGGTAGATATTTAAACTAATTTCAAACTACTAAAAGCCCGTTAATTATCATTATCAATAATTATCATGTTTTGTTTTCCCCTGTTATTGTCGCCTACTCTTAAATTCCCAGCATGAAAACATAAGATCTGAAAATTTGAGTAATCTAGTTTTAAAAATGAGCTCTTCATACATTTGCATCATTCTTCAGAATAACCTAATGCAGATCAGTAATTATGGCTGCACAATATCGCATGCATGTCCCTAACACACAGACACATTTATGTACAGTTAAAGTCATTGTTATTAACCCTTCCAGTGAAATTTGCCTTAAAATTGCATTTCAAACTGAATACTGGTGTCTTGCAAAAGCTAAAAATGCATATTTTGCATTGTCACTAAATTAAAGAAATGAGTTGTTGAGAGATTAGTTATTAAAACTGTTGTTGTTAAAAAGGCTCTCTGTTAAGCCACCCACTGGAATTATTTAGAAAATTATGAATAATTTCACAGGAGGGCTAGGAGAAATAAAAACACAATTCAGGTGTTTAGAAAAAAGTACATTTTATTTTGTTTGACCTGTAAAATCATCATTCAAATAAGACAACAGTAAACAACAATAAACCACCAAAGGAACTCAAATGAACATGCTTAGTTGTCATTCCAATGGTTTTCAAAAATATGTACATGCTGACTTTTCTTGTTTTTTTAGCCAGTCTCTTGTACTCTTCCCCCTTTATAAAAAAACATTTTTGGAAGTATAACAGCTGTTTGGTATTTCTTATTTTGATCAATTTAAACAATTATAAACAACAAAAACATTTTGATGTTCTGATAGTGATTCCTATGTAGAAGAATCACTTCTTGTCCTGCATCAGAATTTTTAATCAAGTGTTACTAGGTAATTAGTTAAAGTTATTAGTAACTAATAAAGGTGTGGTAACTAATAATCTTAAGTTTTCAGAATTTGTAATGCAATAATAGTAAAATGCTATACAAATAAACCTGAATTGAAATAGTTAAATTGTTGTTGCTCAGAACAGGATACATTTTAAGCTGCATTTCATTGTTTTTTTGCTTGTTTTTTTTTAGCTATATATTGTGCATAAGAACTGATCCTCACCTAAATGTTCGAATATGTTGTAGGTCAAGATCAATTACGGCCCCTTAACTATCCCCAAACAGACGTCTTCTTAGTTTGCTTCTCTGTAGTTTCTCTTTCCTCGTTTGAGAATGTGAAAGAAAAGGTGAGTCTGACAATAATCTTTCAATAACCTGCAATAACAAACCGCTAATAACAGATTTCTCTGAAATGCAGTGGGTGCCTGAGATAACCTTTTACGCACCCAAAACCCCTTTTCTGCTGGTTGGAACTCAGATCGACCTACGAGATGATCCTGTGACCGTTGCGAGGCTTGCAAAAAACAAACAAAAACCAATCAAACCAGAGGCGGCGGAAAAATTAGCCAGAGAGTTAAAGGCAGTGAAGTATGTCGAATGCTCTGCTTTAACACTGGTGAGTTTTAGTTTGATGATATGTTGAATTTAAATTGAGTTGCATTTATTATTTTTACTTTGTTCACTTTTTCCTCTTTGTTCCAGAAAGGACTGAAGAATGTATTTGATGAGGCGATATTAGCAGCACTACAGCCTTCAGGGTCCCAGAACACATGCAAATGTGTCATCACATGAGCTGGACAAAGATTAAATTTCAGACATGATTCTGAGTGTGAACCAACAGGATCTTTTTATTTTTCTACAGGCTTTCATCTAACAGGTGCTTTGACTTTATTGTTTATTCTACCGTTGTTTCCTGGTCATATGATGATTTGTGTGTAGCTTCTACTCTCTGTTGTGAAACCACAGCCTTCAGGTTTCAGAAGGATTCAGATATTAGAGGGAATTAGGGGTAAGTTGCACCACTTTTTATTTAAATGGAAAGTAAAGAATTACAATTATATTTGTAAGTGTTTAGTGTCTATATTTATTTACATTATTTCTGGTATTTATATTTTGAAGAAAACAAAGCTGTCGAAATGTTAATTGGTATTTTGATTTGAGTCACTGTCTGGACTTGCAATATCTGAAAAAATAAATGTATTTTAATTATAAAGGAGAGTTAGAGACTAATAATGTGAAACATTTTTTAAAGAATGATTTATAGAAGGCATCTACTAAAATGTAAACACTTTACACGACAGTAACTATTGTCTGTCATATTAAGAACAAGAGTCTTTTGATGAAATTTAAGAATCACAGTGCAGCTTTATAATACTCATTAAGTGTCATTTAAATCTTTTTACTTTGTCCTTCAAGCCACTAGCTTTGTTTGCAAGATTTTAGTAAGCACAAGTCTGACTTTCACAGGTTTCATTTTGTCATGAATATATCCGTTCAGCCAACTGACAATGAACCTTCGAAATGTTGATTGAGTTAACTGAAACTTGCATTTAGTAAGTGTATAAAACTACTTTGGAAATAAAACATTTGATACAGACACCATAAGGATCTTGTGTTGAACTCACAGGTTTTATACATTGCCTGTTAACCAGCAAAGCATAACACAAGCAGGTTAAGTATAGCTGGGCTTTTATTGTTGAACGCAACATCACTTACCCAGTAACTTTGAGACATTTATTGCACTTCAATATATATTTCACTGCAAAAAGAAAATTTACTAACTGTTTATTTGCTTCTGTACAGTATGTCCCTTCCAGTTTCTTTATTCTGTTTAACACAAAAGGTATCCGGAAGAAAGCTAAATACCCAGTTCAAAATTCCAAAAAACCAAACACTACCAAAAGTCAATGGTTACAGGCTTCCAAAATATCTTCTTTTTGTGTTCTTCATTTAAACAGGTTTTAAACAAGTGAATGGTGAGTAAATGATGACAGAATTTCCTAACTATTTAAAAAATGTATTATATGTCATGTGTTTATTTATATGTCAGATGTGTCATATGTTTATAATGGCAAAATATCTGAATACGTATAAAACTTTTTAAGCTTTATAATGTTCTTTCATTTATTCATTTTCTTTCAGCTTAGTCCCTTATTTATCAGGGGTTGCCACAACAGATTGAATAGCCAACTATTCCACCATATGTTTTGTTTGGGGCATGCCCTTCCAGCTGCAACCTAGCACTGGGAAACTCCCAAACACTAACATTTTCATACACTGACCAAATTTGTTTATTCAATTCACATTTACATTTAGTCATTTAGCAGACGCTTTTATCCAAAGCGACTTACAAATGAGGACAAGGAAGCAATTTACACAACTAAGAGCAACAATGAATAAGTGCTTTAGGCAAGTTTCAGGTCTGTAAAGTCTAAGAAGGGAAGTATTAGTAGTATGAGTTTTTTTTTTGTTTTTTTTTGTACAGTTAGTGTGATATTCAGAGAGGCAATTGCAGATTAGGAAGTGTAGTGGAGACTAAATAGTTGGGTTTTTAGTCGTTTCTTGAAAGTAGCGAGTGACTCTGCTGTTCTGATGCAGTTAGGGAGTTCATTCCACCAACTGGGCAGATTGAGCGTGAGCGTTCTCGAAAGTGATTTCTTCCCTCTTTGGGATGGAACCACGAGGCGACGTTCATTCACAGAACGCAAGTTTCTGGAGGGCACATAGATCTGCAGAAGCGAGAGCAGATAAGAAGGAGCTAGGCCAGAAGTCACTTTGTAGGCAAACATCAGAGCTTTGAATTTGATGCGAGCAGCAACTGGCAGCCAGTGCAAACGGACTAGCAGCGGAGTGACATGTGCTCGTTTAGGTTCATTGAAGACAACTCGTGCTGCTGCATTCTGGAGCAGTTGAAGAGGCTTGATAGAGTTAGCTAGTAGAGAGTTGCAGTAATCCAGTTTGGAGAGAACAAGAGCTTGAACAAGGAGTTGAGCTGCATGTTCAGATAAGAAGGGTCGGATCTTTCTAATGTTATAGAGTGCGAATCTGCACGATCGAGCAGTTCTAGAAATGTGGTCAGAGAAGTTTAGTTGGTCATCAATCGTTACTCCAAGGCTTTTCACCATTTTGGATGCAGTAATGGTTGCCCCATCCATCTGGATTGAAAAGTTATGGTGTAGAGTCGAGTTGGCAGAAACTACAAGCATTTCCGTTTTTGCGAGGTTCAGCTGAAGATGATGATCTTTCATCCAGTGTGAAATATCCAACAGGCAGGCTGAGATGCGAGCTGGAACCGAGGGATCATCAGGATGAAAAGACAAGTATAGCTGGGTATCATCAGCATAGCAGTGGTAGGAGAATCCATGTCTCTGGATGACTGGTCCTAGAGATGATGACACCTCTCCCCTCCAAGACACCCTGAATGACCTGTCAGTGAGGTAAGATCTGAACCATTGTATAACAGTGCCCGCAACGCCCAGTGACTCAAGCGTAGATAGCAGGATCTGGTGGTTGACAGTGTCAAAAGCAGCTGACAAGTCCAGCAAAATGAGGACTGATGATTTAGAGTCTGCTTTAGCCAGTCTGAGATCCTCCACGACCGAGAGCAGGGCAGTCTCAGTTGAGTGGCCTTTCTTAAAGCCGGATTGCTTGTTGTCCATGAGATTGTTTTGAGTAAGAAAGTCCAGAACTTGATTGAACACTACTTTCTCCAGAATCTTGGCCATGAATGGAAGCAGGGATACTGGTCTGTAGTTTTCAAGTAGCGTATGGTCCAGGTTGGGTTTCTTTAGCAGTGGGGTTACCCTAGCCTGCTTAAATGAAGTGGGGAATAAACCAGAGTCAAGAGATGTGTTAATTATGTGAGTCAGTGTTGGTATGACTGCAGGAGAGATGGCTTGCAAGAGATGAGAGGGAATGGGATCGAGTGGACAGGTGGTTGCATGGCTAGATAGCACGAGGTTGGACACCTCAGACTCAGAGAGCTGAGAAAAAGAGGTGAGTGTGTGAGGTGTTGGTGGTGTATCTTGCGTGTTTGTTGTAGGTGCAGCAAATTGAGCACTGATTTTTGCAGCTTTGATGCAAAAGAATGTAGCAAAGTCATCAGTAGTAAGTGTGGAGGATGCGGGTGGAGGAGGAGGATAGAGGAGGGAGGAAAATGTTTTAAAAAGTAGGCGAGGGTAAGTGGCATTGTTGATTTTCAGACGGTAATACGTCTGCTTTGCAGAAGTAACCTCAGCTGAGAAAGAGGACAGAAGAGTTTGGTATGTTAAGAGCTGTGCAGGATTTTTAGTTTTCCGCCAAATTCTTTCTGCAGCTCGAAGTTTTGAGCGATGCTCACGGAGAGCATCCGAGAGCCAGGGTGCAGGAGGACTGGCACGGGATGGCCTGGATGCAAGAGGACATAATCGGTCTAGACATGATGCTAGTGTGGAGCAGAGTGTATCACCTATACCACATGTCTTTGGACTGTGGGAAAAACTGGAGCACCCGGAAGAAAACCATGCCAACACGGGGAGAACATGCAAACTTCACACAGAAATTCCAACTGGCCCAGCTGTGACTCGTACTAGCATCCTTCTTGCTGTGAGGTGACAGTGATAACCACTGTGCCACCCACTATTGTAATGTTTTATTTGTCCCCATGGATAATCATATGGCATGAATTCAATTGCTAATTTAAACAAATGTAATCTATTGCCTGTTAAAGTAATATGTAAAGCACAGCGTCTAGTCAACTGGACAGATCTCCACACAGCTGTTAGTGACCTGTATGCCATTACAGTCTGTCCTAAATTTTGCATTCTTCCCACCATGAGTGAAACGGATAAACCGAACTCCGGGTCCATACTCCTTAAAGACATGGCTCATCTGAAATAAAGCAGAACAGTAGTCAGTTTTAATCAGTAACATTATTATTATTAAATGACTTAGTAAAATTCTGCTCACTTGACGCCATGGATAAACACCTCCCTTGAGAAAGAACACTTTCTCTGGCTGAAAGGCACAAACAGGGTTCATCTTCTGATCAAGCAACTCCACACAGATCTGATATTCACTTCTATGATCAGAGCGTGGAGCATACCTGTAGAAAAACAGGTCATGTGAGTAAAGCGCATTAAGCTAACGTGCTTCAGTTAGTTTCTGGTTTAAATCTAGTTTGAATCTAATAATTTAACAAATTAAATCATTTTACCTCCATCTGTTTCAGAAATGTAAGAAGAAAAATGAATGCTAATCTTATATATATATATATATATATATATATATATATATATATATATATATATATATATATTAGGGATGCTCAAAATAATCGATTAACCGAAAGGGTGCGTTTGTAACCGATTGATGGTATCAGTTAAACAATTAAAAAATATATTTTATATATTTTTAGTTTGGCTGCATAAGGTGCGCTTTTTGCGTTAAGAGGGGCATCTTTTAAATGGTTTACTAAAAGCTGCAAGTGTTTTGCACGAGGCTCATCCCAGAGCTGCAGTGTTTGTGTTGTCAAGACAAGGAGAAGAGGTTCCCGCATGGTTCCCGCTACATTCATTCTTCCATGGCGAAGCGCCACACCAAAATGCATCCCTCCACAGCTACATTACAGCTTTTCATTCAAAACATTTTAACATTGTTGATGTTGTTTTTAGTAGCGGGTTATAATTGCACCAAAACGAATTAAAAGGTAATTGAATATAACAGCGCAAACATTCTGTAACCTTAGTAGTGCTGTGGGTTATTTGTTAAACCCTTAAAGTGACGTGCTGACTGACTGACCAACACAATCTCACGGCAATTCGTAACTTTTTCATTTAGTGGCTAATTCGTACAATTCAGTACGATTTGCTCATCCCCCAGTGACGGTTGGGTTTAGGGGTGGGGTTAGGTGCCACGCCTCCTTGTTAAAATCATACAATTTCATACAACTGAACTCGTACGAATTCGTACAACGTAGCCACTAAACTGGCAAAATGTAAAATAATGTGTTCTCGTGAGATTAGGCTGGACTGACTGGTGCGTGATGCGTGAAGCCAGCAAACACGACGTCGCTTTCAGTTATGATGAACACAGTTCCCATAATTTTTATTTATTTATAGATGATGGTCTGTGGTTTTGCATAAAGTGACTTTATCTTGCTGGAGTTTACAGACGTTTCACTTTACTTCAGGACACATTAATGCCGCTTTGTAAGTCTATGGAGACATTCAGAAATATTTCTAACATATCTAATAAATTTTGTAGACATACTCGCTACATAAACGTGCTAAATCGCAATTCAGCAGCATTTATTTGAGAGCGCACAATAAGATCTGCGCTTGACCAGAAAATATTTGAGGGGGTGTGAAAGAGGTTTTGTGCACAAACAGAGGAAGTCGGAGCGCTTTTTCTTGTCAACGTAAAAGGTGTTTTTGGAACGGAAAAGCGCGTTTGCTGTGATCGGCCCCTTAATTGCTAATGTGTAACCGCACGTGCCTAAAGACATATTTGCCAAAGAAGCAAAATGGAAGAAGAATATTGCTGTTTGATACAGACGAGTTGATGCCAAACCAGCACTGATGCTGATGGCCTCCTGGATCTGCGTCGTAAACACAACAA